CTATAGGAGGGGAAGAAGTGCTGTGTGCTTTCTTCCAAATGTGTTGCTTAACAAATGTGCCGTAATTATTTCACAGGAATTAGCAGTTAGATCTACCGGATGAAACCAAATACGTTCACAGAATCAAACATCTGGATGTAACAGATGTACCTCTCCCTGCAAATCAACATCACAACAGGAAGTTGTTCTCACTTTTTCTGCTCTCCATTTGATTTTCCCCTTCACTGCAGTTTATTCTAATAGACCACGCGTCCGTGATCCCATTTTATTGGTACATGCTAAAGTAAATCAGGCATCACTGTTGCTCATATTCAGGGTTAGTGATTTGAACAAACCCCTGACCCAAAGTATTAAACGTTGGTGCAGAACTCAAGCCATTTGTGCAATGGACGTACCTCAAATTGTTGTAAAATACCTAAAAATTGAGAAGGACCAATTAACACTGCACTTGCACTGGTAAATAACCCCCCAAACACCTTAGCACCATTCATATTTTCTTAAGAAAATGAAAAAAATAAATAAAAAATTATTCACAGTCTGTCTAATATGGTGTTAGCTTACATGTGTACAAGAAAAAGATATAAATAACGATTAGCTTGTTCAGAACTTTATTTATTTTTTTCGGTCACCGAAGCAAATGAAGTGGAAGAATGACAGCAGTGGGTCTGACACAGAGCTGACATCTTAAAATTACATAGTGCTGCATTTCTAGATGAATCATATGAGTGTTCACGTCGTTCAGCTCTGTGAATTCAGTTTTTGCCTGAAGCTTATGAAAAAGACTGCAGCTAATGAGACAAACGACAAAGATATTACAGCGATGTAATCATTTAATAAAATAGCCATCACTTTTAACAGCTTTTCAACTGTTTTCCTTTTATAGCACTTTAAACTAGATATAAACGTTAACATTTTACAATAAGTTCCCATTAGTTAACATTGGTGAATGCATTAACTAAAAATGAGCAATACATTTGTTACAGTTTTGTAATAATCTTTATTACGTCAGTTGATAAAAACATACAATTGTTCATTGTTTGTTTTAGAGATGCACAGATGTATCTGCCAATAATAGCTATATGCCAATAAAAGCAATTATTTTCACTATCGGTCGATTGTTTAGAAACAGCCGATGATCATGTCCGATTATATCCTGTCAATCAAAAGGGGACGGACAAATGTGTGAGACTGCAACTGTGTGTGAAGAAATCACTCTTGTGTTAAATTCAGGGCAAGTTAATGCAATAATAACGCATTAACAGTTAACAAATTGTTAAAGCAGGCTCTGTTTGATACCACAAATTACCCGTAGTTCAAACCAGGGTTGCAGGTTTGTGTTTTTCCCTACACAAAACATTATTTGTAGTCCGCCCCCATCCAATAATTACAAAGAGCTTTGTGCTTTGTTACTTCTGATAAGACACATAAGGTAAAGATAAGTCTCAGATTTAAAATTCGGTCCATTTTTATCACAAAATTCAAACAATACATGGATTTTGATGCTCTTAAATGGGACGTGACAGATCGCTGTAGCACCTCAGGTATTTTCTTTCTCTTTAATACAAGTTACAGCACAACAAAAAACATGAATGAATACAGAAGGTATGTTGAAAGATACAGTACAACTTTTCAAAATGAATAATGTCTCATGTAATCGCTCAATCAGTGTTTCAACCACAGATAGGCATCAACAAAAGATCTTGTGAACAATGTCACTTAATGTTGCATTTACATCAGTAGGAAAGTTATCCAAAGAAAAAAAAACACTAAAGAGGAGCTTATTAACTGTTAATTATATATGTATGCTTGAATAAATTTGTCATGAACACAAGTGAACCGAGTTGGATACAAAAATTTCAGTTTTTATTTGAGTGTAATTATTATGTCTGAAAATAAATGCCAGTTGAATATAATACGTTGGGCTATGTTGTTAATTTTAACCTCTAATATTATAGTAATGTACCAAATGTGAGGGTTCCCTGTGTAGTTTGCAGAATTATTTGGCGGAAATCAAACTATCGGTATCGGCAGATGTCTGAATCGGCTGTCGGTAACGGACAGAGAAATGTAATATCTGTGCATCTCTAGCTTGTTCATGTTAGCGCTCTACTCCAGTTTTTGCCCCTCAATTCGTCCAGGAAAAAAAGGATTTCAATGTTGCCCAGCCTCAATAAATCTAACTCCCCTAACTGCACAATGTGAATCCTCTAGACAATCACATGTATTTACAAGGGCAACCGTTATCTCATTGCAGGGAAAGAAGATCGATGATTTAATTTTCTCAGTGTTGTTTTCATCAACAGACACTGTCTTAAAAAAGAGCAAAGAGCCTTTGATACTGCAGGTGCATTGCTTCCCAACAAAGTTGAGAATAGTTGTTAGTAGCGTGGCAAGCATCACTATTACTGTTGTTCATGGATTAGGGGTTTGTTTAAAGTACTAAAATGTGACATACAACTCATCCAGCATCGCTTTTGCTACACACATGAAGGACTCCAGTTGTGTGCTATTACTTTTCAAAGCAAATTCGACCAGGTGGTCGATAAAACAGGCAAAAAATAAAAGAATCCGCAGACTGACATTGAAGGAAAGACCTGAGCCATTTCTAAAGACGTGGGGGTGGACTCTTTTTACTTGGGCCAGTAAGCAACCATACAGCAATGCACTAAAAATCACTCCGAACTCCTTAGCAACCAAAAGCAATGCCCTAGCAACCACCTTCAACACTTTGAACCATTTGAACAGACAAGCACCACTACAAAAATCCTGTTCTCATTACAATGAAATTCAAATTGGTACAATTTTAATCAAGTATATAATTTGAATCAAGTGCTGCCTCGATACTATGTAAAATGCACACGTAATTCTGCCAATTTGAATAAGATCTAGCCAGGTATCGAGATCCAATGCGCTTGTTTTGACGCACCGGTGATGTTTGTGTCACTGTCGAGCATATAATCACATAGCTCTCCATAAAGGGAAGTAACCTACAACAGATTGTTGCTGGTTGCCATCCGCAGCATGTCACTGGGGGGACCTTAACATCCAGCGCAGGAGAATGAGGGATGGGGAGATGAAGAGAAAGAGTGGATACTGGGCTCGGGGCAAAGGGATGAGTGAATCAGTGATGCTCCATTTTACCCTGCGCAAATCAGTGGGCTAGCGCAGATGGCCCTTCATTGTGTCTGTGGCACTATGGAGGAAATGATGTGCTCGCCCCAGGGAGACGCCACAACACCCACATATAAGAACAGAGGCCAAAGAAAAGCCCACAGTCCTGTGAAGCTAATAAACTCGCCCACTCGATATGGAGTGTCCTTCACTATTAGTAAAAGTACATTTTTACTGTTGATTTGAACTAAAAACATGTAAAATCTCTCATTGTACTCGCAATTATTTTTAGTATGTACTTCTGACCGTTATCTGACCTGATATTATTGATGCGTTTAACCCTCTGTTATAATGCATATGCGACTGTTATCTTTTAAAATAGATTTAACATAGTTTTCCTTGAACATGGAACATTGCACAAAAGGTTCTTTTAAGTGAAAAAGATTCTTCAGATTATTGAAATATACTAAGAAAAAAAAATGGTATGTTTAGGAACTGTTCACTGAAAGGTTACAGAAATGGTGGACATTATTTTTAAGAGTGCAAGGATAGTATTGATTCTGTTTGAGGTAATTGATGCATGCAAAATCATACTGTCATATAAATGCAATTAAAACAAACCGTAATTGGCATGTACTGTACATGTGTGTCGGAAAATGTTAGCATGTGAAAACGCATTGCATCTGTTCATGTTAAATACTTGGGGTTCCCAAGAACTCAAAAAGAAATATGCATGTCATTAAGTTGAAACTTTGTTCATAATCAGTGCTTTTAAGGGAAAATGAATTCAATATCAGCCTGTTGCCCACATGTATGCATTGATCAGATGCTTTTATGCCAAGTGATTTTCGTTTAATCTGCTCATAACCCTGGTGTCGCTCTGCCAGTTAAGCCACCAAACATATTAAATCAATGTTAAGTATGTTTTTTAACAAAAAAAAGGACCAGACTCCAGACATATTAATCCTACACATTAATCCTAATGCATATATGCATCTATAGCCATGTACTTATCCTGTGTTGCATTAACAAAAAACAACAACAACAAAAGTTTAGATGTGCACAAACCATTGTTTTTCTTTAACAAACTCACATAATAATCATACATGCATTCAGACTAGTTTAAACCTCTCTAATCATCATGATAGATTTCATGTGGACTCATATCAATCTCTCTTGAGCATCTAGAGAGGGTGCTGCACACTGCCTCTCCAGACATTAAATTAAGATGTGTCTGTGTGTGTGGGTATGTCTGGCTGAGTGTGTGTGTGTGTGTGTGTGTGTGTGTGTGTGTGTGTGTGTGTGTGTGTGTGTGTGTGTGTGTGTGTGTGTGTGTGTGTGTGTGTGTGTGTGTGTGTGTGTGTGTGTGTGTTAGCGTGTGTGTGTGTGTGTGTGTGTGTGTTAGCGTGTGTGTGTGTGTGCCTTTGTGTAAATGTGACTTTGAAGGCGAGCATCTGTGCTGCAGACGACTACATCACAATGAAGTCACCTGAGTTTAATTTACAGGGATTGAATTTGCAGGGAATGAATAAGTAAAATAAACCTGATAAGGTGTCCTTGAGATCACAGGAGACAGTGTTACATTAGCACTGCCTATTATACTTTTGAAATACTTTCATATTAAAATAAAAATATACCAACATACCCTATAACTGTTCAAAGGACAAACAAGTGCTGTGCATTTAGCAATCTAGGCTTTGTGCCAACCTTTAAATCTTTAACAAATGTTTAAGACCGTTAATGATACAAACTCGATCGCATCTGCTATGATACTACTACCAATCATTCATCCTGAACACTTTCAGTCTTATAGAAAAAGAGACAAAACTGCATGGAATAATCACACTTTGCTTGCTTTGACTTCGGATGTGCTAGTAAGCCACTCTTACCCAAATTACGCAGCGCAGGAGTCTTTGTAGCTCCACTTGGCCAAGTTATTTGTGCTTTGTGGATCAAACAAAACCACCCAGTTTTGCAGCACTTCTCTAAAGGCTTTCCTGGCACCGAAGAGCCCACCGCGCAAAAAGACGCATGGAACAAGTCCAGGTCCAACTTGCCCTCAGCTGTCCATCGCGCAATGATGATTTGTTTTATTATTTAGCAACTCATGTGTCCAGTAACGATTTTCAAATATAAGCTCATTTTTTGGGGGGAGCTTCACGTCTCAGTGTTCAGCTCACAGATAGTCCAGTGGTTGAGAGTTAAAGTCCGCGATTCAAATTCAGCTGTCCGCGTCCCTTCGGAGAGCGCCTGACCCCCGCGGTGTCTTATAGAAGGTATGATGATGGAGGCACATATTCTCTATAGCCTCTCGATCTGCCCAGTGAATGAGCTCGTGCTGGAGCTTCACTTCGCTAGAGCTCCTCCCTCCGTACAGTCAAAGGAGCTATCGCGACTCCATATGGACAGAGAGAGAGAGAGAGAGAGAGAGAGAGAGAGAGAGAGAGAGAGAGAGAGAGAGAGAGAGAGAGAGAGAGAGAGAGAGAGAGAGAGAGAGAGAGAGAGAGAGAGAGAGAGAGAGAGAGAGAGAGAGAGAGAGAGAGAGAGAGCGAGGGGACCTGAACGCATCCTTGCGCAGCGCGAGCAGGACTTCTGTAGGAGTGTAAAGGTCTGAGGAAGCTCTTGCCTTATGAATAATTAAGGGAAGTTGTCGCACTTTTTACTGCAGCGAGGTTTATTGTTAAACGTCCATTTCTAAACCAACGTTTTGACTAAAAAATAAATAAATAATAATCTGTCCAAGGAAAAATATTCAGTTCGTTAAGCACACATTGCCCTACGGCGGGGCATGTTTTTACACAATATGAGAAGTTTCACTCGTTTGAATCCCTGTTTTGGATTTAATATGTACTGTATATGGATATGTAAAATTGATCTCCAAATCATTTTTTTAATAGTGGGGAACAATCCATACAAACATGTATACTTAGAATCTGTACAGTATGTATGATAATTATATATTTTTTTAATCTAAAAATGTAGTAAATAAAGTAAAACATTATATGACTATGCATTATATTTATACAGTACTGTATATTTACTATTATATTAGTAATTATTTTAAAGTAAGTTTTTTTACCTTCATCTAATATTAACTTAAGATGTGCAAACTGATATAAAGGTGAAATGAGTGCTTAAATAAAAGCATTTTTAAAACAATTATATTCATATGAAATCATATTTTCTTCAGTTTTCCTAGGATCCACCCAACCACACAAACCTTTTTCTTCTGTCTCATCATGACTAACCCATCAGCCAGACTGACGAGATCATGTATAGGTCATTATGAGTCATAAAGCGTAAATTCGTTGAAACTGTTATACTGAAACCTGCCATTTCAGAAATCACATTTATTATCAGTTGTTATGTTTAACCATTAATATTAGGTGTATTGCACTCTTATACACGAGTGTAAACGAGGAAGACAGCTGTGTTAGAACACTGATTTTTCTTCTCTTCTAGTATTCATGTGTTTTCAGGTAGTGTTGCGCAAACACCCAGAGCAGCCCACACCTTCTCTATCCACATTATGTAAGGTGAGTACACCCACGTGATAGGCAGGAGTCAACTCTCACATGCATAGTATCTGACATAAATCGATACAGCGTTCTGACATGCTTTTGATGAATTCAAATATAATATTTCAAAACATGAGATGAGATATTCTTTCATCCTTTGCAACCATTCAAGTTCATTGTATAGATAGATCGTATTGTTTTGCCCTTCTCTCAGACCTATTCATAAAATATGAAAATCCATCAAAAAGGATACATTTTATAAACTCTGATCATTTAATGAGATACGCGAGTTTTTTGTTGTGTGAAATTTCTCATTATTTTGTTTTACACAAATTGCGACCCTCAGTTGTGGGGTCCTTTTCATCAGATGTAACAATTTTCCCAGATAAAGTTTTATTAAAAGTGAGTGTAGCCTACATGGTTATCAGGGAGGCAACAGTGTTATCGAGCATGTTTGAGATTAAAAAATCCGTGATGTGTGAAGAAAAACAGAAACAAACAAACAAGTTAAATATCACATCAACCAAACCTGTTATGGCTATTATTAAATTTTCAAGCTATAAGGTTGTCAAATTGTATGTAAACATTGTGAAAATATGATTTAATTGTGTGCATGTGGGATGTATGAAATGCTACCTATTAAACTAGCCATATTGCAAGACAAATGAGTTAATAATTGTATTACAAACATGTTTAATGTAATTTCAAACACACAATGAAACATCATTTGAGATGATGACAGTGTGGTGTTAAGTGTTCATGACTTGAAAAAAAAAATGATCTAAACAATTCCATTATGATGTATGGATATAAATTTTACATTGTTAGAATCAAATACTAGAGTGTGAATGTATGTTTTAAGAGTTTGTTTTCTGAAAGCCCACAGGGCCAAAAGTGCATATTCAAAGAAACACCCATAAATTAATGAAAGCACCTTGAGGTCATTCTGGGTTGAAAAGTGACAGATTCTTGACCTTGAGAAATGTTTTGCTTAAAGGGTGTGTGTGTGTGTGTGTGTGTGTGTGTACATATGATTCAATGCAATGCAATTTTAGAATAGTAGAATTTATTCTACATTTTACTTATATACTGCAAAGGAATTGCGGCCAATAGAGTGGCGTTATCAATGCATGTAATTGATTTGCAGAATAGGACATCTGCATTTTCCATCTGTTTGGGCTGAATTACACTGAGATTCTCTGGGAAGCAGCATTCCGAAGTTCGGAGTCAGCAGCTGCTAATGAATGCTGAGTTAAGACATGCTCAGCTCGATGCAATCACTGATCTCCGGTAAATGCGATAATTCAGTCAAAAGTACAAAAGCAGCGCTCTAGTTTGTAAAGTTTTTAAGTTAAATAAAAATAGCCAAATCGATTAGCTCCAGAACAAGCAATAGATTAATAAGATCAGAGATTGCCCATGTGATATAAACAAAACTAATTATATCTCATTTTTAAACACTATCTAAATAAGAGCCAGCGGCAAATTCCCGAAGCACTGGCCAAGATGAAGCTGTTCTCGTCGGGCACATGAGCGCTGAGCGACCCCTGGCGGTCTGGAGCTCGCATCTCCCAAAACATCTAAGCACTTTTTTAAATAGGTGTTATGTTTAGTTTATAAATATCATAGTTGAGGTAAACAACTACATTCTCTTTTTTTTTTTTTTACCTCCACCCCCCAACTTTAGGACAACTTTATTTATTTATTTTTTATTACAGAAACTGTAATATCTTTTTTAAGTACATATACAATATGTTATATTAGGATTACATTTATAATCAGTACCTTTAACTGTTGTCCTCAACAACTCGTTCTCAAACAAACAACTACATTCTCGCCCAAAGAAATCTTGCAACTACATTCCATCACACAATAACAGTAGTATTTGTAAAATTATAGTGGATTTGCTCCTCCGCCACTGACGCTTGCTGTGAGAAATGCTTCCAAACAAGCGGAGTGATAAAAGTTGTGAAACGGTTTCGGTGAGAATGAACCATTTTCACATTTCTGGGGCCTCAGGAGCGGAAGTCATCATAGTTGGGTAAACTTCTATAGTGGTGAATGGGAGATGACAGCAAAATATTTATTCATATTTATTTGTGCTAGTAGCAAAAGAAAAAAATCTGCACTAGCATTTCCACGACTTTCCAAAAATATAAAAGAGATTGATTACAACAGTCAGAAAATGTAAAATTTGCTGTCACTCCCTATATAGTGATAAAGAGACTATAACAAAATGTTTTTAAAATGCATTTTTTTCACTCTAAGTATATATTAACATAACTGACATATTGTTTGAGACTTACTGGTATACATGTTATAATTAAAATGTATTTGGAATACTTATTTAATGCAAAATGAATATTTCTTATAATAGTAAGCACAAAATCTGTTTTAATATCACTATTAGTATATGATCTCTGTATAATATCAGTCTTTAAATGCAAGATATTTAAAGTGTGCCTAAAGTATACTTGCAATAGTTCCACTTTAGCACAATCACATATAGGCTACCTCAGGATATCTTTAGCACTCAGCACTTCTGATAAACAAAATGTGTTGTTCCAATTTAGGAGACTTTATTATTAGTATACCAAAAGTACAATTTCACGATATTCTAACACAGTCTCATCCCAAGACGTCATATGACTGACGCTTTTGACCATACGTCAACATCCGACGTTTTAGGGTACCCTTTAACGTCAGTTAGATGACGATCCTAGGGCGTCATCTAACTGACGCTTTACCTTTAGCGTCAGTTAGATGACGCGGGTAGGTTTAGGTCTGGGGTAGGGTTAGGATTAGATAGCGATGAATTCATATTAAGTTCAGAAATATGTAAATGTTTTACACTTAACATAAAATAAATGTATTTCAAATACATTCTGGTATATTTATTTTTCACTAGTGCTCCCTCAGCCATCGCATTAGAAACACCCATCGTAGCAGCATTTATATATATATATAGGCCTATATATATATATATATATATATATACACTCACCGGCCACTTTATTAGGTACACCTGTCCAACTGCTCGTTAACACTTAATTTCTAAGCAGCCAATCACATGGCGGCAACTCAGTGCATTTAGGCATGTAGACATGGTCAAGACAATCTCCTGCAGTTCAAACCGAGCATCAGTATGGGGAAGAAAGGTGATTTGAGTGACTTTGAACGTGGCATGATTGTTGGTGCCAGAAGGGCTGGTCTGAGTATTTCAGAAACTGCTAATCTACTGGGATTTTCACGCACAACCATCTCTAGGGTTTACAGAGAATGGTCCGAAAAAGAAAAAACATCCAGTGAGCGGCAGTTCTGTGGGCGGAAATGCCTTGTTGATGCCAGAGGTCAGAGGAGAATGGCCAGACTGGTTCGAGCTGATAGAAGGGCAACAGTGACTGAAATAACCACTCGTTACAACCGAGGTATGCAGCAAAGCATTTGTGAAGCCACAACACGCACAACCTTGAGGCGGATGGGCTACAACAGCAGAAGACTCCACCGGGTACCACTCATCTCCACTACAAATAGGGAAAAGAGGCTACAATTTGCAAGAGCTCACCAAAATTGAACAGTTGAAGACTGGAAAAATGTTGCCTGGTCTGATGAGTCTCGATTTCTGTTGAGACATTCAGATGTGTAGAGACTTTAAGGATGAACCAAACACGAATTAATCTTTCTAATCTCTCATGGGATTCATTCAAATGTGATTCAGCATTTCGGATCTGAATACCACATTCCAAAGTCACAAGACTGGCTCCAAATTGTCTAGAAAACCCCCCAGAGAAGTCTTTTATGGCCCCGCAGGCATCAGAGATAAGCCTAAACAGGAAGAACGTTGT